TGTTCAACACTACAGCATTTCTCTTGTCTATTGTCTTGACGTTTATACTCTTGCCAGATGGTAAAGCATACACTTGGTGGTATTTCTTCATAGCGGGGCCTCTCGTATGTTCTTATTCGATCTACGTGAAGTATTATCCCTTTTTATTCTACTGCATCTACACTACTGTTGCATTGGGATTACTCATATATCTAATCGTGTTCTACGTGAGGTGGAAGTGTACCAGACCGAAGAAAGTACTAAAACCCAAGACCGAGCTGATTTCCGAAAGAAACATGACTATGGTTTAACCACTTTCCAAGTGTTTGTACTTTTGTTTCCTGTGTATTTCCGAAAGCTTTAAAAAGAACAGAATTACACTACCTAATTTCCACCAAAGAAAAAGTGAAAGAAACTTTTAAACTATCATTGGTTAAAAGTTAGGGGAAATTGTTAATCACGAAAACTATTACATTTTTTTGTTAAATTTTAATTTGTTTTTTTAATACGTGTGAACTCTCCAAAACTTTCGTCTTTTAGAACCGGAGGTAGTCACTAATCAGGCTCAGGTAGGTAGTGTAATTCTGTTCTTTTTTTGGTCAAAGAGTCATATATGTATCTAAAAAGAAATATACAGATATACCTAAGTAAGACAAAAAATCTTAACATTGATACTCTTCTTGATTAGTTTATTGTTTGACAACATATTTTCTTTATTGGTTAATCAAAAATGTTATCTACATCCGTATATATAACCAATATGGTAGAGAAGTGCTTACTAACAAGAACAAATATTTCTGATATCAGTTGAATTCAAAGAACCTATATCCATAAAACTTGCAAATCAGGAAATTTTAACGCAAAGGACATTTGAACTAACTTTGTTGAAACCGTAACGAAGAACGATAGATGCGATAGATGACTAAATAATGATTGGGTAGGGGAAGATTGAAAAAAACCACATGAAAATTGGCTTCCTTGACAGTTCACAAAATGGTAGCCATAAAATGGGTAGGGGAAGACAAAAAAAGCCACTTTAAATTATCTCATACATTTACCCTCGACCTTGCAAAACATTATTGGATTGAATCTGCCAATTTAATTTGTTAAAACCTTACTAAGCTTGTTAATTTATATGTTTTTCTTTTCAAGTATTTACTCAAATACATCATCCATTTTTCCCCGTCAATGACATCTAATTAATTCAGGTGCATAGCTTGATTAGCATAAATGTTTTTAGGCCATACAACTTTGGCAGACTAAACTCAAATTTTGAAGTTGTTTCCATTTAACCACTTTTAGACTTCTGATTTTGTATGGTCGTGTTTTTCCTCTCTCCAGCTATATCACAAAATTCTAAAATAAGAAACGTCAAATGGAGAGGTGGGGATCGTAACTGGAGAAAACAGGGTTCAATTCAATGAATATGTTTTGACTATTGTACGAAGAGACCGTACGGTTTCTTAGCAGGAAGACACTCGCACGCACATTTAAACGAGCAAGAAAAGAAATGACCAATTCCACATAATTCAAAGTTTTAAAATAAGAAAAGCATAACATCAATTGATCTTTTGAAATTTGGTAACGAAGAGAAAGACAATAAAGAACCGAAAGGTTAAAAAACAAAATCACGAGCAAATAAATAAAGGTTTGATTTGATTTTTGAACTTTCTCTAAAAGCATGATTCCAATGTGATGCGTCACTTCGTCATGCATTATCATTTCCTTTTCTTTTTGGTATCATATCATCAATGCTTTTTTTACCGATAATCCGTAAAACTAGGCAAACACGAAACAATATAGTTTTACAGGTTTTTTTTATCATTCCCACGACTCTACTGTGACATTTAAAAAATCTAGCAATTACACAATTCTACGTAGAAAAGTAGCCCGTAGCAAAAAAAGAAGAAGAAAAAATGGGTTTTTAAACACTCTTTAACAAATTTACATGACTTTTAACAGAACTAGTCCTAGCGATAATAATACTGCTGATCTTGTCGATCTTTGAAAAAATCTTCAAACATGTGGGGTTGAGGGTATAGAAAATAATTTAGATGGTGAGGTTTTCGATGATGCAATGGGAAAATATACCCATAGGAGAAGATATTTTGTTGGAGACGAAAGAAGGTGGGGAACGAACTCAAGACATAAGTGGAAAACAGTTGTATACTTGTATAGATGTAGGCGTAATGGCTATGCGTATAGGGTGCATTAATATGTTTAAACGGGAAGTTAGGAATGTAGTAAGGATAGTAGACGCATACATTCGAGTATTCGATCCTAATCTGGAAAATTCAATTAGAATTATCTAAAGGGTTTCACAAAATGGGAAAATATGCCAAAAAGGGTTTGACTATGAGAACTATAAAGTAGAGCGGGAAAGATAACCGGCAAACAAATCGGATCAAATCACATTTGACTATTATTTAGTAGTAGTCAATGCTAAGGGCTTTGGTCGAGTGAAAGCCTTCTTTCGAAACCAAGTCGTAGTGACGAAAGGAAGGCAGACGATG